CATATTTCTAGGATTGTCATTTAGGGATCTGTTTGTTTGTAATAAATTACATTAAATGTTTCAGTAATTAAATTCCTGATGTAACATTTGTTGCCAAGAAATCAACTTAATTTGTTTATGATTATATGCCAATATATTGTGGCAAAACCATATTTTCATGTTAGAAATCCATCGTTTTATTGAAAATTATTAGCACAAAACCTACATAAATTTGCTATAGACAGAAACTTAGGGGCACGTTCCGATGATTTACTTATTCTAGATTTTTTTTGAAGCGTTGTAATTTCCTCCCACAAATTGCTGTAGCATTTACTGTTTCTAGTAAAATGTAAGATCCCATTTACATTTCTATTTCTTCATTATAAAGTATAAAGCCCTTTAGTAGCATATTTCGTACTATTCTTTCACCACATACGATTGAAATAATTAGGTATACGCTGATAGATCATTTTCCTAAATAATCTACCTAGAGATAGACTCAGTGTTGTGCGCGCTCATCTTACTTGCCACACTAAAAGTTGTAAACTTTACTTCTCCGTCTTTTGCGTACCTCATTTGTGCTAAACGAACCGACAACTAATGCCACATCAAAACCCGTTTATTTATTAGATTAAGTTTCTCTGTAGACTCTGTTGACAAACCATATGAAAATCTGAGAGAATCATTTCCTAATAAGATTAAAACATACCCTTTTCTATATCCCTATGAGTTTATTACATTGGTAATTGGATCTCTGGCATTACATATCTATCATTTACCGGAGTTGTTTTACTCATATTATGACCCATCACACAATTAAATTAAGCACTCCCACCGTAGTTCACAGGGTAAACGAAAGCTAGCAAAATCAGTAACAAGGGAAGGAGGGGACTAAACTTCGTTACGAAGCAGGTTATTAGATCGCCGGTAATTTCTAACGCCCCCCGTCAGCGAACACGTCATATTCTTCCGCGACCATGTGATAAAAAAAAGAAACTTTGCTACAGAGATGCCCAAAATTATGGCCAATAAAGAGGACAAGTGAGGTGTCCCCCTCCTATTGGATAATGAGGTTGGCCATCATTAATGATGCGCCAACTCATTATCCAATAGTGTTGGGGGACACTCACTTGTCTCCCCTATTGGTCCGTATTTTGGTTAACTAAAGAATTTTGTTTCAAAAAAAAAGGGGACGACACGAATTCAGGCGCCAATAGAGAACGCGGACATAATTTATGCCAATTCCTTGTACAAAATAGTTTGCTATAATTTTAGTAATGCCAGCGCGGTTTCTCCATGCGGCTTGGACTGCTGACCTCCGCTCCCGTTTTGACGGGAATGGCAGGAAGCAACCGCCACCGCGGCGAGAACGAAAAATTGTAAAGCAAGACACGAGTGCACGTACCCCACGTGTTTCTGCGAGGAAAAGGTCCGTCACGTACGACGGATCTTTCCCAATTCCTCCATTCGCTCGGCGCCCCGTGCTCCCTTCACACGGGCAAGTACGAAGGTCCTTCCCCACTAAGGATTATTATTTCGGGAGATGGTTGTTTATTTTGTTGTTATATATATATAATATATATATATATATATATATATATATATATATATAGAATATGGAGGAAACTTGTACCATTTCTAAATTGAACTTCGTAGCTGAGTGTGGTCAAATCTAGTCCATCATCATGCATTGGCAGACGAGAGTCTCAATCACTATTCACCTAATTTAAAAAGAGGTCCATCTCAATGCATGATGTATGGTCTAGATTTTGACCACTTCACTACCAAGTTCAATGAAAAAACTTAGTAACAAGTTTTCTCCATATTTCATATATATATATATATATATTATATATTTATTATATATATATATATATATTATATAATATAATATATATATATTCATATTACTAATTTTTCATAAGTTTCTTTTTGAGATGGAGTCACTAGATTCATATAACTACCTAAATACGACTTACTGATATGTTTGTGATGCATATTACAAATGGAATAAATCATATGTGTTAATTATTTTCGCATAGCCAGAACGGGCTTTAGTGGATCACAACACAAGCCGTAATATAGCAAAAAAATAATAAAGAAAGCGTTAAAGCAAGCCAGGAAAAGGCACGTTGATAAAGACAAATGTAAGCAATCTCTAACAGCTTCCTATTTCTCACTTTTGGAGAAATTTGTTAGGCTTTTTAGCCCCAACAGATTCTCCATCGCATTCCCCAAAATAGGGATGGAGGAGAAAAAATTGGGGAGCTTTCCCAAATCTGCAGCATTCTCCAAAATTGTATCGAGAAAAATGCATTCTTCAAAATGGGGACAGTTGTATGGACGGTGGATTGTAAAATTAGTTTGGAGAATATGCTTTCTGTTCCCATTTTTTATAAGAAAATTTTAAAAGAAGCTGTTGGAGATGCTCTATAACACCGCTAATGTACCAAAACAAATTTAGCAAATGCTTTCGTGAACTAAATCACACAATCACTTCATCAGAAGTATGTATTATGCAAAAAGCGTACTGACGCGTTCTCTTCTGAGTAAAGCGGGTACGCGTCTTGGTTCACGAACCGACCCCACCCCTTTCAACCCCTATAAAATACCTCCTCCCCTGTTCTCCTCCCAATCTCCACCCCTTTCAAATCTCTCCTCCGTCCAAAGCCATGAGCTTACTACAACAGCTTAGCCAGCCACCGGTCGGACGTCCCTCCTCCTCAGGGTAACATTAACTGCTCCTCTTTCTGTTTCCTTTTCTAGGGTTAGGTTTTTTTTTTTTTTTTTTTGCCCTTGCCCTCTGGTTTCGCTGATCGGATCTAGGGTTTTGTTGGTGGGCTTAGGTACCCGCAAGAGGGATACGCGAAGGACGCCTACCGCCGCGGGGTACCCGCCTCAGGGCTACGCTCAGGGCTACCCGCAGCAGGGATACCCGCCTCTAGGGCTACCCGCCGCAGTACGCTCAGCCGCCGCCGCCTCAGCAGCGAGCAGCAGCAGCCAGACAGCAGGCCCTGCCCTCTTTCATGGAGGGATGGTCAGTTTTCTATCTCTGTTGAGATCTCTCTTTAGATCTAGATATTTCTCTGTTTATTTTCATTTTTTACTATTTTTTTAACCGATATAGAAGATCACGCGTTTGGGTTTGGGGATTTTCCCGGTGCTTTCTAGGCCGTGCTATCGTGCGCTCATCGGCCCGCCGCCACGAGACTGCGTTCGAAAGATTTGTTCTTTTTTAAAATCTTTTGATTTAGCAATAGATGAAGTCTATTTTACTTTATGTTGTTTATTTGTCGAGGCATCTTGTGATCCTGAGATGTAATTTAACAAAGAGGGGAAAGGTTGGCGGAACCGGGGGAAGAGATTGAAAACCAAAATAAGATTAGAAATTCTGATTTTTCGAATAGATTTCAAGCATAATTCCCTCAAAAATTGGTCAATAGGACAATAAATGCGCCCTTAACCAGATGACAGAATCAAATCGATTCGATCACCCCCTAAATTTAGGTGGCTTTTGGGGGGTTTTTCTGAAATTCACCCAAATTGACTCTGCAAAATTCGATCTGAGGCAGGCGCACGCTAGAGAGCACCGTGTTATTGTGCGCCATGACAAGGGGTTGTCGACGGTGACGTGTTCGTGTTATTCTCTGGCTTTGCGAAAAGATGACATTGACGTGATAACAACTCCACCTTCTTCGTTGATAATTCCGATAATGCCCCCCTTTTATTTCCCGAAATAGCCCCTCTCCCATGAGTTCTTCGCCTCTTGGTCTTGTCCAAGTACGACACGGTGGCCCATGATAGCACGGGCCACCGGTCTTTTCTATCCTACGCCAGGCTGTCAAATTAGACTTTTTCCCCCCACCGAGGTACCAAAGTTTAGGTTTGTTTATTAGCGCATTGTGATTGGGATGAAATAAAGGCGACAGCCTCCGCGCTCCCAAAAATAATTTTGGGAGTTTCGATGGCACGTATCGTAATTTCTATGAATAAATTTCTCTCTCATTTCCCGACATGGTAGAGCTACGGTTATTTCAACTTTCACGGTCACATTTGTAATTTATGAGGCTTTTTAGGGGTAGTTAATAGCTTGACTTCGTCTTCACCCCTCATCTTTTCAAATTCCCCATCCATTGCCGAGGGATCGTGCAAAGAGGCGATCCTCAGCAAGTTGGTCTCGAGTTCGACCCGAGATCCATAAGCAATTACTAGTCTTTGCTATGTTATATCGTCTCATTGCCGAGGTGTAACAGGTGCTTCCTCCATCAGCTATTGTCCGACTTTAGTAATTGAATGATGACTTTTAGAGTAGGAATTTTATAGGTGAAAATTTGGTGGTCAAGAGTAATTTGGTGTCCAGGAGTAATTGAATGAGGATCCAGAGGAATAATGTGTTTTTTATTTGGCTATTCCAATAATACCATTTCTAGAAAAAAAATTTATTGTATAATTTCAGGAGTATAATTTCAGGAGTACCGAAGCAATCCTCATAATTAAAAGCTTAACCTTTTTAATTTTGTCTTGGCTTGCAGTTTGGCTGCCCTCTGCTGTTGCTGCCTTTTGGATGCATGCTTTTGATTTGAGGGGATTGGGCA